TTCGGGCAGGGCCGGGGTGTAACCCCCCCTCCTTGTCGCTGCCACCCCCAGCCCTGCAGGGACAGGTCGGCTCAGCCACCGCAGCCGTGTCCCACTCCCCTCCACCAAGAGGAGTGGCCGGGCGGCCTCAGCGTGGGTCATGGGGCCCTTCCGCAGTGTCACGGGTCGGCATCACCTCCGGGCAGGCAGGACGGGATGCTCGGAGAGAAGCACCTGGAGCTGGGGAGCGTCCTGGGGTTTTGCAGGGACGCTGCTGGCTCGAGGCAGGGACTGATCTTGTGCTGAAGCGGAGGAGGCTCCTGCGGAGGTTTTATCTGTGGTGTCCTGCACAGGGGGTAGCTGGGAAGGAGACACATCGTCATTTCTGTGCGTGTTCCTAATCCCCGCTCTGTTTTCTGCTAGCGGAGAACATCACCGTCATCAGGCCTCTCACACCTGCCCTGGCCGAGCCCCGGGGTGCCGAAGCTTGCTGCACAGTGAGCTGGACAGCAGAAGGGACGTGCTGGCAGTTACTATCCCTGGTTTGTGCCTCTTGTTAACTTCTCACGGGCATTTCAACACCGCCATTTTCACAGCCCAAAGCAGGCCTGGGGGTCTTTACAGGACCTCTGGCTGCCACGCAGAGCTGGTTTATAAATCTCTGCCAAAACTTGTATCTGTGTGCCCAGCAGAGATGTGTTATACCACGCTCGGGGAACGACAGCTCTGCCCTGTCCTGAGCTGCCTCTGTAGCTCCTGGTGCTTGTGGTGGGGATGAGCAAGGAAAAATCTTCCTCTGCTGTCATGTGGTGGTTTGTACCCGTACCACGGCCCTGTTGTCACTGGTGTGCTCTGAGCCTGGTGGTCTCAGAGCTGCTGGTGGCTGAGGAGAGGGAAGTGACAGCCCCACGGAGGGGTCACTCCCCTGGGGAGCAGCAGGAGCTCTGTGTTAACATCCCTGTCCCAGCATCGTCACCTCTGATGCTTCCCAGATGCAGACCCAAAGCCTCCCCAGGGGCAGACCGAGCCGCTGCAGGGTCTGGCAACAACCCCCTCGTGCCTGAGGCTGTCTCAGACCGATTTCCAGAAGCAGCTGAAGGCCATCCTGCAAACCCTCCACCAGAGCTGGGAGAAGAAGATGCTGTGGGAGCTGGGGAAGGAGCAGAAGCAGGATGGGAGAGTCTGCCAGTGCCAGAGGGCTGTGAAGGGCCCCGGAGGCAGGGGTAAGAGCTGGTGGAGCAGGGACACCAGGGTTTCCCCTCAGTCCTCCTTCCCCCTGAGCAGTGTTTCTCTCTCTGAATTCCAGCAGGCAGCGGGTCTGGGACGGTGAGAGAAAAGATGCTTCTTGGTACAGTGGTGCAGTGACAGTGAGTGCATGGGACACCTTCTCGGGGTGACCAGGGGGAGTGTCCCCCAAGGCTCAGAGCAGGACCCAGCTCAGGCCTGCCAGCAGGGCCTCAAAGGCACGCAGGGAGCCCCTCAACAGCCCCCCAGCACACCGGCTCGTGGGGAAGCCACTGGGACAGTCAGTGAATGACTCGAGCGTGGCCAGAGAAGGGCAGCAAAGCTGGTGCAGGGTCTGGAGCACAGGTCTGCTGGGGAGCGGCTGGGGGAACTGGGGGGGTTCAGTCTGGAGAAGAGGAGGCTGAGGGGAGACCTCCTGGCCCTCTGCAACTCCCTGCCAGGAGGGGGCAGAGAGGGGGGATGAGTCTCTGGAGCCAAGGCCCCAGCGCCAGGCCCAGAGGGAATGGCCTCAAGCTGCCCAGGGCAGGGTCAGGCTGGCTCTGAGGAAGGATTTCTGTGCAGAAGGGGCTGTTGGGCGTTGGAATGGGCTGCCCAGGGCAGGGGGGAGTCCCCGGGATCCCTGGGGGGGTTGAAGAGTCGGGCTGAGCCAGCGCTGAGGGATCTGGGGGAGTTGAGAACGGTCAGGGGGAGGGTCATGGTTGGGCTGGAGGAGCTTCAGGGGCTTTTCCAACTGAGATGATTCTGGGATTCTGTGACATTCCAGCCCCTCTGAAACTTTGGTCAGAGGAGCCTCTGGTCCAGGTGCAAGGAGGACTGCAGTTGCCAGGGCGATCGATGCCCCCCAGAAGCCTTCAGGGTCCTGGAGCAGGTGCCCCATGGCTGCCAGGACGCTGAAGATCTCTGCCTCACTGCAAACTCCCCTGCTTGTGTGAATGCTGCCAGATGTCCCCTGGCCCCCAGGGAGCCCGTGCAGTGCCCAGCTTGCAGGGGGTGTGCAGGGCCAGTGTCCCCTGTCCTCCCCCAGCACAGACCCCCTGTGAGTGCCCAGGCACTGGCTCCATCTCACCGAGGTGCCTGCGGGCTGGGCAAACCTCTCGGTGTCTGCAGTTTTCCCTTGGCTGGTGCTGCCCGTGTGTCAAAGGCTTCAGGTAGTGCTCGGCCCTGGGCTCTGCACGTCCCTTGGGGTGAGTTGCAGGTTCCTGCAGCTCTCCGAGTCACCGTCCACCGCGCCAGCACATCAGCATGCAGCCCCACGGCTGCCTGCCCTGCACCAAGGGCTTCAACCACCGCTCACACCTCCCTGCCGGCCCCTGCTGCCCCCCACCCTGACCGGGGGCATGGCCCAGACCTGGGTGATGCATCTCTGGACCTGTCACGGTCCCTGTCCCCCCTGGCCCTTGCAGCCTTGAGTGCCACCGCTCGGTCAGGCAGAGCCCACCTAAGATGGGACAAGGTTAGCTGCCCTTCTTTTCCTTTCTCCCCAGCTCTGGTTCCGAGACCCTCAGCTGCAGCTGACTCAGTCCTGTTTTCTTCTCTTTGCATCCCTTTTTTCTTTTTTCCTCTCTGCCTGCTTGCTGCTCCATTTCTACCACCAGAATAGTCACCTTGTGGCCACTGACCCTCTTGCTCAGACACACCCCCCTTTCCCCCTTTGCCACCCCTTTTTTCTAGCCAGGCAGGACACAAGCTCCCAGCCCCATGCCTCAGTGACCTGCCCCAGCCTTGGGGTGGCAGGGTGCCTGCTTATGCCCAGTTCAACCAGTCTGCCTGCCCGTGCAGGGACTGGGATGAGAGCAGAACTCTACCTGCTTTCTCCCCGCAAGCTGTTTACAGAAACCGTGGGGTGCTCCTGTCCTCCACATGCATGTTGGGTGCTGGACCAGGACCAGACCATGGAGCATCCCTGCCTCTTGCTGTCCTAAGTTCATTTTTAGGAACAAGAAGCAGCAGAGGACATGCTATGAGGGGGAAGGTGATGCTCACACCATCCCATAGATGAGATGCAAAGGAGACTTCTTATCTTCTGGCATTCAATTAGGAGTAATAAAGTAGAAGTTTGCTAAGCAGATTCCCCCAAGGGGATGGGGTCTTCCTGAAGCTCAGAGCCCTGCATCAGTGTGGGGCACGCCACGGCTGATCACAGGGTGGCCTAAAAATGCCACAGCTCCTTGGTTTGGGGGCCTACATTCATGGACAGGAGACACAATGAACGGGGGTAGGGGCAGGGCTACCCAGGGCACCTCTCAGCATGGGGATGTGGGTGCTGGCTCTGAAATGGGGGGCATGGGGCTCTCCAGAGGAACCTGCTGCATCCTTAAGCCACCCCGTGTCTTGCCAGCTTGCCCTCTGCAGCTGCTGATCCCCCGTGCTGGGGATGTGGAGCTGCACCAGTGTGTCTGGGTATATTTTTGGTTTATTATTCATCCAGTGGAGCTGGGAGTGGGGTCATTCCTCTGCAGAGACTACACAAGCCAGGGCTAGCCCCCCCCCCCCCCCATGGGACAAGGTGGTTTCCCTGGGGGCAGGTTCCTGAAAGGGCTCCTGAAGGTACCACTGACACCCGTGTCCCCTTCAAGCCTCACTTCATGGGCACTAGATGGAGCAAAGCACCAAAAAAGCAATTTTTCCTGTTGTATTACATAGGCATCTCTGCTCTTTGACTCTGTGCCAGAGGTGGACCCCCCTGCCTGGATGAAATGGGGATGAAATGAAGTTTTGGGGAAGTTGATGCTCTGGACAGCCCTCACCTGGGTTTCCAAAGCAGCTGGTTCTCCCTCCCCACCTGTGTTTCCACTGCAGCCTTAAACTGACATTAAAACACGTATCTGCCCTTCAGAGCACTGACGATTCATTAAGCAGAACACAAAACCCTGCTCCAGTGGTAGAGCTGCTAATAACCCTTCAGGAAATCCCATGAAAGGTTGAAATATTGCTCCAGCACGGGGGTTTCTCAGTGGTGGCACAGGGCAGCGAGAGGTGCTCGGGGACTGTGCTCCAAGCCCGGGAGTTACTTGCCTGATGAGTTGATCTCTGGGCTCGCATCACAGAATCACACAGAATCATTCATTGGAAAAGCCCCTCGGGATCATCGAGTCCAACCCTCAGCCCGACTCTACAAGTTCTCCCCTACCCCACATCCCCCCACAGCTCATCCCAACGGCCCTTAAACCCCCCAGGGATGGGGACTCCACCCCCTCCCTGGGTTGCAGATTTAGTTGTTCTCTGCCATCCCAGCAAGTTTGCCAATGGTTCTGGGGAGGTTTCTAGGATTTGGGGGGCAATCTGGGTTCTGTGTAGTCCCTGTCTGGTGATGGGTAGTAGTAGTGATGTTGTCTTTCCACTCCAGCGGCTTCACCAGGCACCAGGCAGAGGCGAAACCCATCCAAAGGTGATAGTGATGCCTCTTTTCATTGCAGTTGTCACTGAAGACCTTCCCCTCAGCAGAATTCCTACATCTTAATGAGTCAGAAAAGGCTCATTTCAGCCCTTTGCATCTTACAGGGCTTAAGTCCTCAGCAGGACTTTGTCCCAGTGTCATTCCTGGTGGCTTCTCCACTCCATGGGACAGCAGTGATGATGGGCGTTCATTCCTGTGGACACACGGGGCTCTGCCATTCATCCATGCAATTGTTGAGATGATTTTCCTGCTTAGTTTCAGAGTGGGCTGTGCTGGGCACCAGTTTCCTTTTCCACAGGAAAACCATTCTCCAGGGTGCAGATCTGCTTTCCCTACTCATAGATAGCAAAGAAATCTAAACCAGTGATTCCTCACCTGCTTTTTTTCTTTTGCTGAAATGTAGGAGATGCTCCTAAACTCAAATAAACTTCTGGAAATATGGTAGATAAACAAAAGGCTTAAGATGAAGAAATGCCAGCACAACAGCAATTGAATTTGCCTGCGTGTGTGCTCTGCAATGCAGTCGGGAGGTACAAGGCATCCTGCTGCGATGCCGCAGGGCCCTTGCAGAAGCGATGGGCTTTCGGAGAAAGAAGGCAAGGATTGTGAGCATTAGGGCTTTATTGCTTTTCCAGGTGCATTTTTGTACCTGTTGTCTTACTGTGAGTGCATTGGAGGTTCCCAAGACTTGAGGACAAGCACAGGTCAGCAGCCAGGACACCGGGTACTCCTCCCATCCCTGGTTTACTGAATGTCCTTCAGCAAGTTGCTTCTTTTCCCTTCTCCTCAGTTTCCCCACCCCTGTTGCAGTGGGAAACGCTCTGTCCTAACCTGCCTGGTCCTGCTGCTGCTGGTAGGAGATTTCTCTGCATGGGGCAGAGGTTGCCAATAAATCACATCAGGAAAGCAGAGCCAGGCTGTGCAGAAACATCTCCATGGGTGTTTCCAGTCCCTAGTGGGTGCATCTTTGCAATCGTTTTGTTGTCTGGGAGCTTTGGCAATACCTCTCTGCTTCAGTCCATCTCCAAGGATCTGCAGGTGCTTGGGAAAATTCCTACTTTCCTTTTTCCCTTAATGCAGAAAGTCTGGAGCACCCAGGAACTCCAGGCACCACACCATCTGCTCTACTTAGTTGGATGCTGTTTTTAATCTCCTTGTGACATTTTTGGAAGTATAGAGACCCCAAAGATTACTTTCCTGGAGTTCCTCTGAAAATTTTGAACTTTTCCAGCATCCCACCATGTGCCAGATCATTAGCACAGGGGTCAAAGCCCAGAGGATGCTGATTAAAGGACTTTCTCTTTGTCAGCTAGGCTGCTTCTTCTATTATGTGGCACAGTCTGAACCTAATTAGCAAGACCCCATTCATCAGCAGAGGTGAGGCTCAGTGCCTCTCTGGAAAGGTTGCTTGTTCTCAGCTGTCTGCATGGACCAGGGGAAACTTCCTCTCTGGATGAAAAGTCAGGAGTATCCTTTGCATATTTTTCAATTACACCTCCCTTTCTGGAGGTCAGCACAGTCCCTGGAGGCAGATACAATTAACATATAAATTGCAAATCCATGCCAGTGGCCAATTCATACTTTGGGGATGGTAAGGAGATATTTAGCTTGTCACTGTAACACTCACAGGAGATGGAAAATTCTCCCAGATGGACCATCACAGGTGGCGGAGGAGGCAGCAGGGACCAATATCATTTGATGAACAGCCTTGACCATGTCAAGGAAAGGCACAGAGCCCCCGGGCCAAGATGGCTGTGGAGATCTCAAAAAAATTCTGTGCACCAGAGAAAGAACCGAGGGGAACCACCAGAGAATCACCAGCCAAAATCTGGCATTCGCAGATTCCACCACTGTTAGGTTTTATTTCCTGGGGGATTGAAGTAGTTGGTCTGGAGCAAGCTGTGGATGTGTTCTCCGTACGTTAGACTCCTTCCCAGGCAGTAGTGGCTACCAAGAGCCCACAACAGCAACAAGCTATTGGAGATAGTGGGATGGAGATGGCTTTGGTTCATGAGATGCAGATGCTTGGGGGATAGGGACATTTCACAGCAGAGAGCTCGAGATATCAAGCCCACTTTCACCATGTGTGGGACTGCACCACCACCACCACCAGATACAACCCTGAAATGCTTCATCCTGCCAGCAGCCTCTGGCTGTGACCACGTTGTGTCTTGCAGATGTGTTGGATGTGATCTCAGCCATCCATCACCCTGCTGCTTCCAGGGCAGCTGCAACCTCGGCCCACGGCTCCATGGACAGCCCCTGGTTTTCCCTTGCTGGCAGGGTGACATCACTAGGGATGATTTCCCCTCCCAGCTGTAGCAGCACTGGCTTCGTGCTGCCCCTCAACATCTCAGGGCTCCACAGCTTGAGCTAATTGCTGGTGGAAGACTCCTAGTGGTGTGGATGCTGGTCCTGGGGCAAGCAAATGCCAAGCTCAGAGGACATCCCTCCCTCCACCTGAGCAGCTGTGTTTCTTATTTTGGAAGGAAATTGTCTGCTTTTCATGTCATTCTCAGGCTGGCTGCTGCAAAATCTTCATTTGACCAAGAGTCTTTGCAAGCCTGTGCCTACCCTGGTCTATCCCAGCCCCATCTGGGTCCAGCCTGTGACACAACTCTGCCTGACACCTCACATAAGGCACATGATTAAACTTTGAGTTATCAGCCAGATAACTCAGGTTTTAAATTATGTACCTGCGCAGGGAAGGTTTCTTGTCAGGAGGAGTTAAAGCGATGCTGGCAAGACGGCTCCTGTTTAACCTTCTCTGAGCTGTAATGAGATTGAGTTTGTCATCTCACTGTACAGTTGTTGTTTGGCGGCTGTAAGCTTTCAGGCTCACTCTGGAGCCTGTCAAACTCCATCCATCGCTAAAAGGTTGTGTGATGGGCTCGGGATAGGCTGTGTTGCCTGGAGGCTGGGGACAATCCCTCTTGGTCCCCTCCATCCCTATGGGTCAGGTGACAAAGGCTGGGCTTGGAGGGTGGGTGACTCATGTGGCATTTGGTATTGTGTGACAGAGCTGGGACAAATCCCGTGTTTTCCAGCTGAGCCAAGATGCTTTTGAGAGGGAAGGAAGCAGCAGAAGAATTGGCTGAAGATGGCCTGTTAATGCCGAAAATCCTGGGTACAGCGTGCTGGGAAGCTGCACCCACGCTAGCAGGTGAGCTGGCTCTCCTGGCAGATCCCTGGCATCATTTCCAGCCCCACCACTTCTTCCCATGCCTCTCCAGCAGCGATGGGCTTCCCCGACGTGCCATCTCCACAGGGAGTCACCCCAAGTCCCCCCTGCCTTGCCAGCTATGGGTGACCTCCCTTGTGATCCAAGACACCTGGTATTTAAAAGTATTAAGCCTAATTTTTATGTGTTTTTATCTCTTCACAGATTGCAGGCATTAGATCAGGATCAGGGGGGGTTTGATCCCGGTGGATCCCTCTTCCCAAAACCACCGAGGAGACCTTTGCGTCAGCATCTCTCTGGGCTCAGCCCCTCTATAAACCCTCTGTGCTTGGGCACAAGAGGGCACTGAAACACCATTACGGTCGGACCGTTGGTAGCACAGACAGAGCTGCTGGAGCCATGAAGTCCCTTCTGCATCTTCCCCCTGGCTCGCAGGGTCCCTGTACCCGGAGGAGTGAGCGGACACATCCAGAGGATGCTCCTGCCCCTACACTGTGGTGTGCACATCCAGGCTGTGCTCTTCCCACTCCATTACATCGCCTGAGATGGTGGGAGCAGGAGCCGAGTGGAGCCAGCACCCGCTCCTGCAAGAGCAGACCTGTTATTTCTGGAGCTGGGACCAGCAAGAGCAACCAAATCCTTTGAGGTTTGTGCTTCTTGGGGTCACACACCCTCTCGCTGCCTGCAAAGCAAGCCTCCCTTTCACCTGCCGGGGTGAGAGCTGGTGGAAATCATGAGTCAGCGGCGTTCTGCAAATCTGGGAGCACTTAATTGGTATTAATCTCATCAATGCAAATCATATTAACTCTCCTAGAAACACTAGGCCTTTACCAATAGCAACACTGACGATTCCATATAAATCAAATTTACCAGCCTATAAACATTAGTACATCCCACAGACATATTCACCCTCATAAAAAACATCAATTGCTGCCTGACTATATTAGTGGAAATAAATTACAGAACTTTATCTCTCTGCCATGATTATGGGCAAAACCGCATAAAAGAGACACTTGGAAGATGCTTTTGTGTCAATTGTTACTGAAGTTGCCGATGCTGTTCAGCTTCTTCAAAACGCTATGAATTGCATATAATTAAGGGATTTGAAAACCTTCAATGACTAAATGATAAAAATGTCCCTTTTGCAAGCCCTGAAGCACCTGTGTGAGCAATTTTTGTGTAGGTGAGGAGAATAAAAACAACTTATTAAGCATCACCTTTTGGGAGCAATGCAGGAAGGTCCTTTTACACAATTTTTTTTTTAGTGATAGGTGAACAGGAGAAAATGTCTGATAGGGGAAAAACCAGTTTGTGCTATTCAGCTCTTCAGAAAGAAGACTGTGAGGTGGCTTTATTACAGTGTGGGCATCTCTGGAAGAGAAAAACATCCAGTGGAGTAAGGGTACAAGATAAAAGTGGTGGCTGGGAGAGAACTGGATGAAAAATGAGGCTTGTGCTTCAAGCAGGCAGGGTGATTAACCATGTGAGCAAACCTCTTAAGGAAGAGGTGGGGTTTCCTGCAGAGACTGGATGGTTTGAGAGATGTTTCATTCCCACAGAAGTTATTGGGGAACTGGGGGAGATGAAGTGGCCTGTAGCGCTGAGAAGGTTGGTCTCGATGATTGAACATCGGGTGTGCCTGTGAATCTGTGGCAGGAGGAATGAGGAGTAAGGTGGGGATAGGAACCATGGGATGTGTCCACAGTTGTCTCCATGCCAGAGACAAGCCTCATCGTCCCCAGACCCTCCAGGGTACCCGTGGGTCTCTAACCATCCTTCCCTCACCACACCTTTGCCTTATTCTTCTTCCCTGCCACAGACGTGGTGCCCAGGCTAGTTTATGTGCTCTGCAGTCGATGACCTTGGGGACATCATCTCCTTAAGTGTTGGCCAACTTGCTGGCTTTTCTGCTGGCTTCCTACCCAGTGGGTGCTGCAGGTGGTCCCATGCCCATCTGTCTCTCCTGAGCAGGGAGGAGGCTCCCAGCAGAGCTGATCTGCCTCTCCCATCTCTGTTTTATCTCTTTTTGAGTGTCCGCACTCATCGGCCTGGATGACAGCATGGTGCCTGCTCCCAGCTGGCAAGGGTTAGAATAAGTCTCCCATTCTTCTGCACCACTCTGCTCTTTCTATTGAGGCATTCTCCTCCAGGTCTGTCTCAGGTATGTGGTGCTCCTGTTACCATAGTAATGTGCCTCACCATCTCACAGGCTTCAGTGCACTTATCCTTGTAATGTCCCTGCACAGGAGAGGAACACTTGTCCCCATGCTACTTGTGGCAGAGGGAGGCACTAGAATGAAAAGCTCAAGTGAGGTGGAGATCAAAAAGCCCCTGAAAGGCTTGGTGTGGTCACCCAGGTGGGTGTTCAGCACAGAGGTTACCAACAGTTGTGAGTCTTCACCCTTGCTCAGCCCCACAGCAGCGTTTCTTGTCTGGCTCCACCACTGATGGTGCTTACACCCTCAACCCTTCTCGCTGTGCTTGGTGACAAGGAGTGATTAAGAGGTTTAATAATTTGGATTTATTCTTTGCTTCTGTCTGAGGCTGTTCAAAGAACAATAAAGTGACTCCAGTGTGATTATGGCTTAGGACAAGCATCCAGGGATGCTCCCCTGGGCGGCATGTCCACCAGTGTAGTAATACCTGTGAGGGCAGGACGTGTCCCCAGGGAACATATTTAGGTACTCGGGATGGGCTCATCTTGGGCATGTGTAAAACCTTGACGGTGGTTTGCAGTGAATTTTGGATTTTTCCTTTGGGCAAAGTCAAATGCTAAAGAGACGCATGTGCCTGACAGCTGGGCTATGGAGCCTTTTGTACCTCATAGGTTATTCATCGACAAGGTTTGTGTTTAATGCGGGAGCCTGGCTCCAGTCCAGCCTTCTGGGGACTCCTGTGATGTCTTAATGTCGTGTCTGCCCTTTGGCAAGAAAAGCATGGAAAAATAGGGTGGAAACCTGCACTTCCACAGAGCACATGGAGGGGCAGGGGGGCTGGGGGTGGCTGGAGGGCAGCAGCCTCTCATCTGCGGCGATGGGGAGTTCAGCTTCCCAGGGGAAGAACCCTCTGTGGTAATGGGACACAAAGGCAGCTGCGTGAGTCTGCAGACAGGCTGAGACCACAGCTCAGGGAGGGTCTGAAAGGGGTGAGAGCACCGTGTTACAGTGCCACATTGCACCTTCCATCAGCCTGGATTTGCCTGATCTGCACCCAAACGTGTTGTCAGCCTGCGAAAGCTGGCTTCTCTCAGCTGAATGCAGCTTTTTCCAGGATGAGATAAATCCTCCCCTAAAGTGCAGCTGGGGCAAACCCTGGTGTAAGGCGCTTGTGGCAGTGTGCCGTGGGCTCCTGCCTGCGCGTGGTCCACCCGCTCCCCCCACCCAAGCCCCTCTCAGTAAGTCGATGGAAATGGGATGCTGCTGGGTCCTTTATTCCTGCGCCAACGCTCCCCTGGAGCACTCAGGGCCCCGCCACATGCTTTAGTCTAGCACTGACTAATTGCTGGAGAGGTTGCCAGCTTGGGTAGCTAAATATCACCTAAATCCTTCTGTTTAATCTGGACTTTACAGGCAGGTTGGAAAGAGCAGGAGGTAGCCACCATCGAGGGGTCCAACCCACTTGTCAGCCACCCTCTGCGGACAGGCACTGGTTTTAATATCACGTCAACTCTAATTGACTTATTGCTGCTCTTTGCAAATCACCCTCTTAATGATAGTTACAACTACAGTGTGTGCAAATTACCCTGCTAATGACACTTACAGATGTACTAAGTGCCTTTGCTTATTCATATAGCCAGGCAGGAAATCATTTAAAGCCAAAAGGTCAGGAGTGAGAGTGGGATGGGAGAGCGTCATCTCCTTGGCTGGACCCCTTCTCCGAGGGGCTGTCCCCAGTATCCCACCACCTGCTGCTCCGTCCTGCTGCACCTCCTTGCTGGGCTCGGATGTGGGATGGGCTTTGTCCCATGGAGTGGGAGCAGAGTGTGGACTTTCCTCCCAGGGAGTCCCAGCACAGGGATGCTCCTTGGATCAACATGTGGAGAGGATAAGCCCTTTTTCTGTGGGCTGAAAAAATGGTAAAGCTGAAATAGAAACCAAGAAGAGGGAATTTGATCTCTACTGATCTAATATTTTGCCAGGAAGGGACAGTGGTACAGGAGGATGCTTTCTGAGCCATCTGTGTTTCTGGTGGAACCAAGACTCTTTGCATCCTCCCCCAGCCCCGTCACAGCGCCCTGCATCACATCCTGCCCACCAGCAGCGCGGCAGCTGTGTGTGGAGCTCCTCGGCTGGGGGACGTAAATGCCTTTCATGCCTCAGAAAATGCTAATGACTGTTTAATTGGACCCCGCCATGTTACCTGCATGTTAGCGGCTGGTCTGGCTCATGACCAGAAGCGAGGCCGAACTGGGCTCATTGAAGCTGCTATTTCCACGTGAGGTCTGAGTGAAAGCACTTTTCTGGCTGCCTCTGGTGTTTTGATGACTTGGGTTCATCACCTACTGAAATGAATCACCTTTTAGAACTGCAGCAGGTGATGTGATAAGCAAATAATAACTCAGCCATGGCAGCCTAAAAAAGCACCATCTTTGCTGGCACGCCAGCATTTTGGCAACCCTTGGGACATGGGGGCACAAGGACAACAATGTCTCATCTCTGCCCACAGTGTGTTCTGAGGGCTGGTGGAGATCCTACAGCCTTTGTGGGGGGCGTGGGTTGAACAGAGAAGAGGGACCCAGATTAGCGCCTTGCCCAGGAGGAAGGTGGGCAGCACCGGGCCGTTAGATGGTGAGTTTGGAAGTGGTTGGTTCTCCAGCCAGCAAGGTGGTGTCTCCTCTTCCTCTGCAGGACATGGGCACGAGCTGAGATTACTGTGGGGTGCACATTTAAGAGACTGAGCACACTAATGCATGAGAAATCAGGCTCTCTTATTTTCACTGTTCAAGAATATCTTGGTTCTCTTTTTTTTTGTCTTTGATATAACTCTGGATTTTCTTATTATCTGCATAAAATGGTGATCCCTTTTTAAATGCTGCCAGATGATATATGATGGCAATGAGTTCCAGAGGCCAAGTGTGTCATGCCGTTATGAGTTTCTCTAGTGAATTTTATTTAGCTGTTTCAATTCCTTGCTTCCGCTATGGAGCTTCAGAAGAGCACAATCCTTCCTACAGTGTGGGAAGAAATGCAGTGATGGGGCTACCCATCAGGAGTCATACTCAAGGTGGTCTCAAGCACTTCTTCATTCATTGACATGTCTTCAGCTACATCCAGCCTCAGCTTTAAAGCATCCATAATTAATGCTTCTGCTAAAGACAAACAGTGTTCAGGAAGATTTATCATTTCTTCTCTTGTAATTACCTGTCAAAATTAAAATAATGGCCTTTTAGAAGGAACGGAGGGTTTTTTTTCGTAATTAATTAAGTATGCAGCTTGTCATGCAAAATCAAGGTCATCAAGACTGAAATGAAGATGACTGCCCCACTACCGCTGCTATTCTCACATCCCATCGTGCACCCTTGGGAGAAGAGTGTAGGGAGATATTTGAGGAGAGTGGAGAGGGTTTATTCAATAATTTAGCTCCCAGTGGACTTTAATGAGCCAAAACTATATTTTAAATATATGTTAGTCACCGTGCTAGAGGCCTCTCAGCCTGTGCATCCTGGACAAGGATGCTTAGAGGAGTCTGACACAGACCAAGACAAGGTTTGCTGCCCCTGAAATGCGGCTGAGACCCGCGGGCTTTGGAGCAGCTCTCCCGAGAGTCTGCAAGTAGTGTTGTGAGACCTGGTGTCAGCATCCAGCTGGCAAGTCCTCCCCTATAGGCAAGGAAAAGGCAGTCAGGTGGTGTCTCACATTTTGGGTGTCCTAAGTGTCCCAGGAACCACCTGGCACTGTGTCCCAGTTCAACTAGCCTGAACATCCCTTGTCCCTGCTGCCTGAGGGCTAGCTCCTCTTGGAGAAAGAGGTAGCAAGCTCTGGATAAAACTGGGGTGTCACAGAGGTGCAAAACAATCTCCAAATGCAGATACTCCCAACTGAGCCCCATGGGGCACAAGGGAAGAGGAGGGACACTGTTCACACGGGAAGGACAAGGATCTTGCCAAATTCTCCTCCGTCTCCATCCCTGCACCCAGTGGGAGGTGGACATCCCTGCTCCTCCTCCCAGTCCCATCTCTTGCTTTCTTGGGTGCACCTGAAAAGCAGATCTCCATTTTTTTTAGCAGCCTGTTGCTTTTTGATCAAGACC